ATTAGCCTTGAGCGGGCAACCTCCAGCCCCAGACAAAAGGAGGCCACCAGGTCAAAATGGAATTAAAGACAGCAGAAGACAAGAAAAAACAGAAAAACCCTATGTTCTTCCCCTACACCTAAATTTGTGGGGAAGAGATGTGCTGGAGCAGTTACAATGTACTTTAAACATCCCTGATTAGGTTTGACTCAAGCCCATTTAGATCTGCCAAAAGGCCCCATTCAGCCCTCTTCCCCCCCCCCCCCCTTTTAGAGAAGTCAAACCTCAGCTTAAAGAACCAGATAATCAGAAGGAAAATCTCCTCCTTTCCTTTGTTATTGGCCAAAACAGGGCTTGGGAACAGCACTGGTGGCACAGTGGTTAAATGCCTGTACTGCAGCCACTTGCTCATAGACCACAAGGTCATCTATCCCAACCCCAGATCACATGGCAAAGGAGAACCAGGAGTGTAGAAATAGGCACTCAACATGGAAAGGATTGGAATGGAGCAGGGAAATGTAAAAGGCCAAGCCCCTGCTCCCTAGAAAAGGTAGTTGAAATAGGTCACACTGTCTCAGCTTCTTTTCCCCCATCATGGATGTGAGGCACACTGTCTCAACCCCAGCTTCCCCAATGCTCACCAGAATTGAGAGCCATCGAAAGGCACTCATAGAAATTGTCTTTAAGACACCAGGCAGGCATCATTGCCAGAAAAGGGTTGCAAATCCCATCACCCTGCAGGCTGTCCTTGTCTTATTTGGAAAATTGCCAAATAAGAAAGGAAATCAGCCTCAGCCAATTGTTTGCTTAAGTGATTTGGAAACACCCAAACCTTGTTCGTTTGTTTGTTAATGTGTCTGTCTGTGATTTGTCTTTATAAATGTTTATGCTGTCTTCACTATTGCTTTGTTTCCTAAAAAGAAGACCCTCCTTAAAAATTTAAAATGCTTCCTTTATTCCTTTCTCACTTGCTGTGAGTGACACCATCTCACAGCGCTCCCTGTATTTTCTAAGCTGCAGAAGTTTCTGCTTCTTGCACTCTTCACATGCTCAGAGACTATGTTACAAGCTCTCCAAATCCTCAATGTAAAACAGGCTTTGCATTGCTGACCTTAGTTCTTTCTCAATAGTGTCTGCTCTAAAGCTGAAAGACACAGTGCTAAAACTATAGACATGGTTAGGAGTTTTCCTCCTTTCTCTTCCAAAACTTGTTTGTTCTTTTCTTTGCTTTACAATCTGTTTGGCTCTTTGTACATGTTCAGAGGAAGCAGGATCAAATCTGTTCTCTTGTTTGTCTGTTTTAACTCTGCCTCAAATGTCTCTATTTGCTTTTGTTACCAGAGAGTGTGACTAGTCACACACTCTCAGCCCAAGATTAGATTCAACTTTGTTCCTTTTCAGATTCCTTTCTTACATCCCCCCCTCCTTCTCAGCTTTTAAAAGGATGGAGGACATTGATGTTGCTTTTGTTGTTTTTGTGTTGTCTCCAGTATTTTAATGTTACAACTTTGCTCTTTACACCTCTTTCTTTAAAAATGGACAATGGCTCGGCCTTTTGTTCATCTGCGTCTGCAGAATTACACATAATAATAATAATAATAATAATAATAATAATAATTCTTGCAAAACAAAACAAAAAAAGGGGAATTTTCCCTCATTTGCCAGAATTTGCCTCTTTGTTTATGATTAACCAATTTGAATTGTTCATGATTAACCATTTGAATCCATTTGAATTGTTTATGACTAACCATTTGAATTTGTCTCTCAATACAGCTACTAATCAATATTTTCTTTTACTTTAGCATTAATTTTAAGCCCTTTCATGCTTCTCTTACCTCTCCTTCAGCATGTGCCTCATTCTCACCCCACTGTCCTTCCTTGCTCTGTCTTTGCTTTTTCCCTCTGCATGCACTATTCAAAATGGGGGAAGGTAAGCCCCCTTTCTTGAATCAACGAATCCAGACCAGACCAGTGATGCAGACCAGTGACCTGAGCCAAAGATGCCAGATGCCAGAAGAACCCAGACGACTCCAACATCCAGGCAGAGGTGCCGCCCAGCAGCCAGAGTGTCATCCCAAAGGATCATCGCAAACACCAGTGTTCCAGTGCAAGCACCAGAGGCCCTGAATCATGGCGCTCCCCTGCCCAGGACTTGCGCCATCCTCGCCACCTCACAGGCTCCTCGATCACCTAGGTTCCATGCAATTGCTCCCTGCAAGTCCTCACAGACATTGCTAAGTCAACAAAGCAGCATACATTGCCAGTCACTGAATAAACATCATGACTCAAATCAAGGACTCTGACCTCTCACCTACCAGCCAACACCCTGCTTGGGACTCATTGCCACATCTAGCTCTTAAAGCTATTTGAACACTGCCATTTGCATTTGCTATGGACACTGCTAAAATATGCCTGCATTTATGGTTCCTTGATATTGCTGTTTGTCAGTTGTATTCTCATTGACTACTCAA